CCGTGCACAAAGAAAATAGAGGCATGCTACTAAGGTGAAATTTGCCCAAATAAAACAGATGTGTGGGACAGCTGTGGCTACTGACTCCCAAGTAACACACTGGGAAACTGAACGAGAATTGTATCTGTAGAATAATTCAACAGTAGAATTACTGGCACACACAAAAATATTAATAATTATTAGCAGATAGATGGATGTGATTCTGGGCACCGGAAGGACAAACAGAACCCATTGTTTTCACATGCAGAACAACAAAGAAAAACAGTCATGGAAATTGTTCTTATGAACTGGGATAGAAATGTGATTTAATGTTCTGGGCAAAATATCAATTCCAAGAGCTGATAGCATCAGAATTAAGAAAAGAAAGTCTTAGTCTTGGGTAGCTCAAAGAATACATCTAATCCTAAGTACCTCTAGATGGAGTTGAATGTGTTATATGTGTTAATAAATATTTTGACAACACGGAGATTAATACCAGGTTGGACTGAGTGAGGGAGCATGTTGTGACACCCAAAAATCACAGAAAGGTGCCAGAAAAACGGCACGTCTCAGCACGTGAAACGTATAGGAAATAATAGCTTTGATTTCATTTCATATTCATGAACAGGAAACTCTGCAGCTTTTTTAAACTTAACGTGTGTGTGTGTGTGTGTGTGTGTGTGTGTGTGTGTGTGTGTGTGTCTGTGTCTGTGTGGCTATGTGTGTGTGGCTGTCTTATATCCAATACCTCTTAAATAACTCGTGCTGCATATTTTCCTATCCTAGCACATGAAAGCATCTTTGGTTCAAAATGAATGGACTGAGCCATCTCCCCAGTCGACTTGACCGAACAGAATTCGGCTAAGACAGGCAGCTTCCCCTACTATTTTCAGATGTAGCCAATTCCCCTCTGCACAGGCCGTTCTGGCAGTGCTGCCTGTTGTTTCTGTAAACTCTGTGGTTGATTCCCTGCTTGCTTCACAGATATAGAGGCAGCAGGAGTCCCTCTGTTAACCAGCCACACAGGGGAGTGTATCTTATTATATCCGCTGTGTATTACAGCAGACTTCTCAGCAGAGAGCTGCTTCCCACAACTATGAAGTAATCTCAACGGAAGCAAAACATTCACTGTGGATTTGGAAATAGCTTCAAGATTATGAGATTCTGCACATACAGTTGATGAATTAAAAAGCACTATGGAGTGAGTACATACCATAATCAGACTGTGTATAGTACCAAGTAGGGTTGCCAGCCTTAGCAAATTAAAACACAAGATGCTCCTCGGCATTTGATTTTCAGATAAACAACAAATAGCTTTTAGTATAAGCCTGTCCCACATAATATTAATAATGCAAATGCTAATTATACTTACAATTGTAAGCTGTTTGTTGTTTATTTGATCTGTAGACCAGGCTAGCCTCAAATTCGGAGATCCACCTGCCTCTGTCTGGAATGAAAGGTGCTGTTGTTTATTCAAAAGTGACACTTAACTATATACCATGTATTTTACCTGGCAGTGCTAACTGGGAGAAAGAAGAAAGAGTTTTAAGGAAGGATATCAGAAAAACAGGAGAAATGCTGGGCTGAAGGAGAGCTGATAAAGAGAAAGATGGGAGTTGCTGCTCTGTTTTAAAAGATGATGAATAGAACCATTTGTGAAGCAGAGGGTCTCATACCAAAGAGTAAAATTAAGGAGCAATGTTAAACATTGTTTAAAGTCCTTAAACAACAGACAACGCTTACAGAACCAAGTCTGAGTTATGGGCAAAACACCTGGAAGGGAGACTTTTCTTATGAAAATGATGATCAGGGACAGATAATGGAAAAGCCGACTCAGTGGTCATGAAAAGAACGGAATTATGATATATCCCTAAAAGGAGACAGAAGGGAGGTTTGAGAAAGAGTGGCCCAGAGCTAACAGATGAAAGGAGAAAGTTCTGGTCAGAGAAGACTTTCTTGGAGAAAGCCACGGACCTGTAAAGAATCTAGGGGACCAATGATCATGTTTTGCATCACTCTTTATGTTGTTTGATCATCTGCGCTCTGAAAGTTGCGTGAAAGCCTTCATAAACATTCACACCCAGGTGAGTTACTGAAGGAGTGTTTGTAAAATAAGAAAAATTAGCTGGGCAGGGGTGACATATGCCTTTAATCCCAGCATGTAGAAGGCAGAGGCAAGAGAATCTCTGAGTTAAAGGCCTGTCTGGTACACAAAGTGAGTTCCAGGACAGTCAGTCCTATACAGAGAAACCCTATCTAAAAAAAAAAAAAAAAAAAAAAAAAAAAAAAAAGCTGGTGGCATTAGGCAGAGGCAAGTGGATCTCTGAGGACAGTGTGATCTACAAAGTGAGTTCCAGGGCAGTCAGAGCTATTAAACAAAGAAACCCTGTCTCAAAACCAAATGTTAAAAAGACAAGAGTAACTGCCGATGAGCCCCACTCAAGTGCTCACTCACAGAGGTCAGTGAGTGAGATAAAAAAGCAAGCTAGCATCAAGAGAGAAAAGAATCCCCAAATAGGAAACTGAAGGTTGTATATATATGAGCACCCCAAGTATCCACAGGATCACCTTACATGTAATTTAGGAGTAAAGTGCTTTTGTTTAAGACTCAAAAATGAACAGGAACTCCAGGGAATAGCTGGCTCTATGTAGAAAACCACATCTAAGTCCCGGGAGTTCGGGAGAAAACTGATTGCATGTGTACATCTCCTGATTTAGGCTTCCTTTTTTCTTTCTTTTTGATAACTATGCTTTGGTCACATAAGCACCATCATCAACATTCGTTCTATCTCCGAGACAGATGGGAAAGTTCTGGCAAGAGCTCACTCCCCTGGCAAGAGACGCTATTGGAATGTCTCACTTTCATGATTTTGCACATTTACATAGCTATGAATGCCTAAGTGAGAAATCTGCCTTTGCACCTTCCCATTACTGCCATACATTAGGATGTGTGTATTTGTGTTCCTGTATAAACATGCCAGTGTGCTGTAATGCATGTGAGTATAACTACTTCCTGGAATAGTGGAATTTGTGCTACAACCTATAAAAAGACCATGGAAACTCTTCTTGCAACTGCTTGTGACATTTTTCAGCTGTGCTTCCAATATTTTTTCCAAAAGCTAAATACTGAATTATGATTGCAGACACAAATGAACACAGTGTGCTGTAATTTCTAGAATAATGGCCTTGGAGTGATTTTATTTGTCCAGCCAATTGAAAGAGTTGGGAATAATGACTGTTCCTTGACCATAACAATTAATACTTCAGAAGGTTTCCCCCAGTAAGAAACTCTATTCCAAGTTCAAGCCTGGCTCACTTTCTCTTCTATCCGATTCAGGGTATCTGGTCCTATCTTGAAGTTCTTGATCCATTAAGAGTTGAGTTTTGTGCACGGTGATAAATATGGCTCTATTTGCATTCTTCTACATGTAGTCTTCCAGTTTGGCCAGCACCATTTATTGAAGATTCTCTCTCTCTCTCTCTCTCTCTTCTTCTTCTTCTTCTTCTTCTTCTTCTTCTTCTTCTTCTTCTTCTTCTTCTTCTTCTTCTTCTCCTTCTTCTTCATAAAGTCTTGACTAGTTTTTGTTCTAATCATGTGTTAGGCTCTTACTGATGGTCCCAGCCATTATGGTCATTTTGTCCTCACAGAACAAATGAGAAAGTGGATCATGCCACTGCCTTCACAAACCAAGCATTTAAAATAAGGAACTTATACTAGAAAGAACAGCAACCAGACTCCATGGGACACTAACCTATGAAAATGATGGTAGAGCTGAAGGCATCAAACTAACACTTTCTAGGCAGATGCTGCTGTTCTGTGTACTACTGAATGCCATAGAATTTGAAGAGATGTCAGATGGCATCTCATCTCCCCTCCACTTCCTTCTCAGAGACCTGAGTCATAGTGGCTAACACTATACCCAGGCTCTTCCATTTTCAATACTGAACCCTTTCTAGTACTCATAATGGCAGCTTATTTTCCATAATAGCTAGTGTGTAGTAATTCCAAGTAGTTTACAAGAAGTACTGTTTCACTTAGTCCTACAACTACCCCATGTACAGCTCTTGCAGATCTTGGGTTTAGAATCTAAAACCCAGTGTGGCTAACCAGCTCAACCCAAAAACCAGCAAAAGAATAGCCTTCTGGGCCAAGCTTGGTGGCACCCACCTTTAATCCTAACATGCAGGAGGCAGAGAAAGGTAGATTCTGTGAGTTGAGGCCAGCCTGGTCTACACAGTGAGTTCCAGGACAGTCCAAGCTACATAGTGAAACTCTCTCTCAAAAAGAAAAAGACAAAACTGGCTTTCCTACTCTCAACCCACAGCTCTTCTAATCCTAAGGAAGAGTTCATTTTCTTACCATCCATCTCCTGACTTCTTCACCACCCCAGGAAGCACCTGTAGAGAGATTGTCTCTCCAATAATTCCCTTCCTTCCACATCCAAATGCAGCAAGTTATTAAATTCTGGTTGGCGTCCATGTCACAATATCAGAAAAAAACTTTTTAAGTACTTCTACACTTGGGGATGGGAGGAACAGCAACTTACTCATTCTTAATCTTTCCAAGATGTCTGTATCTTGAAATGCTTTAAGTAATTAGATACCTAAGGGAGTCACATTCTCCCCAGTTTCTATTCCTTTAGTTGTATGTAAAAAGTAAAATAGGTATGTAGCAACATTAAATAACAGGAGGGAAATTGCCATAATTGTGAAAAGAGCTTCTGCCACCTCTGGTAATTACCATATTGTCCACTGAACCTCAGGCTGGAAGCAGAACTCGCACTGAGCCACAGGCTAATCCCATCAAACTCCTTGTCAGTGTGGAAACTCCCACTGTTAATATCCCGCCAGCCAATGCGGCCTGCAGACACCTCGTTTCTTTTACTTTTCTCTTTTCAGTTTCTGATGCAAGGAAAATGATCTTTTTGGGCGTAGAAGCCAATAACCAATAACTAACTTGTTTTTTTGTTTGTTTGTTTGTTTGTTTGTTTGTTTTGTTTTGTCTTGTCTCTGCTATACAGAACCTGAAGAGGGTGGCTGAGACCTGGATGGATGAATTCGCGGAGTACATTTACCAGCGGAGGCCGGAGTACAGGCACCTCTCCACCGGGGACATCTCTGCCCAGAAGGAGTTGCGCAAGCGACTCAAGTGCAAAGACTTCAAATGGTTCATGGCTGCGGTGGCCTGGGACGTGCCGAAGTACTACCCTCCGGTAGAGCCCCTGCCTGCTGCGTGGGGGGAGGTGAGGAGACCTGCCCTACCTCTGAGAACCTCCCAGCTTGAGAAGTGAGAGAGACTGCTAAACCTTAGGTCTTTTCTCCTTCAGCCCAGCAGGTTCATTTAAATTATGATAATGAGTGCTGACTTCCTTTAGAAAGTGCTTAGAAGTAAACATCCGACCCACAGTGTTGATATCCCATCCAAGAATTATGGGACACACACGGCTGATGATGCTTTAATTGGATTTTGTTTAATATGCCTCAAAAAATATTTTAACTTAAGATTGGCAGAATTGGAACTCATAGAGAGTAAAAACAACATCTTATAAATAATCATGATCAGGTATCAGATAGGATAAAACTTGTGATCAGATTTAAGGAAGTCCTTCGCTGTCCTCTGAGTGGCCTTATTGCTGTTTGAACATTCAAGGACAAAGCAAAGGAGGGCGAGGCTAACCAGGGAATACCTTCTGCTATCATGAAGGATTGCTAGGCACCATGTTGCTAGGAGACATGTTGGTTTCATATATATATATATATATATATATATATATATGTATGTATGTATATATATATATATATATATATATATATATATATATATCTCCAAGTCCATTTCAATGAAAACAAACATTTATAGAAAATACTTGGGAATTTGGGCGTCGTTCTTTCCAAACTACTTCCTGCTGGTAAGGGGCGCTATCATGGGGGATTCTAAGAAGATGCAGAAATCCTGGCTGTAGTCCATAAGGCTGCTTTGTCCAGCTGATTTGAATGTAGAATCACCTGGTACTGTTTCAGGTGGTCTGGCTTGATCAAACCACATTAGTCTGGAAGGAATCCACATCTTTTCATTTTCTGTGGAAACAAAAATAGAAATCCTTTTCCCCAGTAACTTGTCCTTGAACTTCCTCTATGACATGTTGGTTTCTTGAATGAGCACTAACCTCCCTGCTTTTCAACACTCTGATCTGGTATTTTGCATCCCGTGATCACAAGTGGGAAGTTCCAGATAGCCTCGGGGCCCCAGATTTGAAACATCTATCTTTGGGGATAAAATAGATTGCTTCACTGCTCTGTACATTCAATACTATTATGGTAGATTTTTCCCTCCAGAAAGTGTGTGAAAGCAAAGACCACATCCAATGGGGTGGATGTAGCCTAGGGATTTAACTGCTTTTACAAGAGGATACCAAGGGCAAATACTGGCTGGGCTGTGAGTTCACACCATCCCAGGACTGCCAGGGCACTGCATAGGAGCCATTTCATCATTGTCCTTGGTTTTGTGGTGTGCTTAAGACCTCATTACCTAGTTGGTGTCAATGGTCCACCCAGCTCTGAAAAACAACTTCTTAATCCAGGTGAAATGGTAAACGTCTGCCTATGGGCCTCAGTTGGTCCAGTACTTGTCTAGAAAACACAAAACCCTGGTTCTATCCTCAGCATTGGATAAATCATGCCTGATGCCCCACACCTATAATCCTGGGACCTGGAAGGAAGAGTCAGGAGAATCAGAAGTTCAAGGTCATCCTCACATACATGTGATACTGTTATCTCAAAGATAAATAACAAAATCAAATAGGTTGTTTCCTAACTAATTTGTATATTAACCAGTTTCTCAAAGAGATAAAAAAAAAATAGCTAAATGCATAGAGCTTATCTGTGAGAGATCTTTCATGTTTTTCACACTTGCATGGTTTTTCTTTTTTTCTTTTTTCTTTCCCTTTGTGTTATTTGGTAGGGGGTTGTTTTGCTTTCCTTTTTATGAGAGGGTCTCATGTATGTAGCTTAGGTTGTCCTCCAACTCAAGAGCCTCCTGCCTGGCATGCAGGTATGCATTACTGTGTCTTGGTTGGAAGTTATTTTAAAAGTAAGCTTCTTATTTTAGAATAATTCTAAGTTTATAGCTGTGTTGTAATTATAATATGGGAAGATCAGATGCATCCACACCCACATATTTGTACTAAGAGCATTTAGTACTTCCTCCATTGACTGGTAGCTTATCAGATGAATTGATTCTTACTGGGACAGTTATACTTACTAAACTACCATTTATTTAGATTTAACCAGGTCTCATAGTAAAGTCCCTTTTCCTTTCCAGGATCCAATCCAATAGCTGAGAGGACTTTGCAACATCCTACAAACTTTGAAGTGATTGCTAGAATACCCATAGCTCATAAGCAAGAACAGTAGGTCAGCACTGCCTTAGTAAAACATTGAAAAGGTGATGCGGACGCAGGGTCTTTTACAGGAAAGAACCTCCAACAGCAGGAATACAGGTTCCCCTATGGGACTCCTGGGCCAAGAAGTAGGGAACTTGTGTTCAGTCATACTCAATGTTAGTTACTCACCACCTGCTTCTCTGCCCCATCCTGATTTTGGGTAAACAGTTGCTAGGCCATCTTTGGTTCTGGTTGTTGGGACTGAGCTTTGAACAATGTGTTATAGACCATATCTCCTAGCTCATTCCCTGGGTCTTCCCTTCCACCCTGAAGAATATTTTCACCACAGACCATGTAAGATATGAAATCAGGCAATGCCCCATTCAAAACATTTCAAAAACCTCTCTCTCTCTCTCTCTCTCTCTCTCTCTCTCTCTCTGTGTGTGTGTGTGTGTGTGTATGTGTGTGTAAATCAATGACTTCACCTCTCTTGCAGAACCTCCAACTTCACCTCTTGCTAGCCCTGATGCACTCTCCTCTATTGATCTTACCATTTTTTAAATGTGCCAAACAGAATCTCACTTCAAGGCCTTTGCACTGCAGTTTCCACCAAGTAGACTCTTCCTGCCCCTGGAATTCTATGGCTACTTCCATCACCTTCTTTGGCGCTGTGGTGGTTTGAAAGAAAATGCTCCTCAAAAGGAGTGGCATTATTAGAAGGTGTGACCTTGTTAGAGTTGGCGTGGTCTTGTTGGAGCAAGTGTGTCACTGTGAAAGCAGGCTTTGAGGTCTCATATATGCTCAAGCCATACCTAGTGAGACAGAGCACTTCCTGTTGCCTGCAAGATGTAGAACACTCAGCTACAGCATCATGTATGCCTGCATGCTACCATGACCTGCCATGGTGATAATGGACAAAACCTCTGAAACTATAGGCCATCCCATTAAATATTTTCCTTTATAAGAGTTGCCATGGTATCTCTTCACAGCAATGGAAATCCTAAGTAAGATAAGAACCTAACTCAAAAGAACTTATCAGCTCAACAAAGCCTTCAATGGCCAGCCTAATCCATATTTGCAGTAGCCTACACAAAACGGATATGAAACTCTTTTATTCTCTTTCCTCCATTACTCTGGCATCAAACACCATGTCAAACTCTACCATTTATTTATCAGATTTCTTATATCTACCACTAGAGAGCAACCTCCAATGACACAAAAATTCTGTTGGTTTTCATTCTTACAAACTACTCTTTGGCGGTAAGAAAGGAACTTAATGGTTATTTGGTTACAGGAGCAAAGTAAGAATGAATAGAGGACCATTCGATCTTGTGCCCATGAACCGTGTCTCTAAGCCTACTCAGAGCACACTTGGTACCTATTTCACCTCTTATTCAGGAGAAGGGTCTCCATGCCATCCTTTCATTGACCCAACAAGGTCCCAGTCCCCAATTACCTGGTGCGACTGGGAATAACAAATTACAAACCATTGACCCTGATGGACTGACAGGTCCTATGTTGCAAAACATTGTATTCTATCTTCCTAAGAAAAGGAGAAATTCCAGTGGTTTCAAGAATCTTAGCAAGGTCCTCTCTCTTAAAAAGCAGAAGAGGCCAAAGTCACAACTACTCAAGACGATTACCTGCTGCAAGCCATCCCATCCTCTGCTTCACAATGGCAGCAGCGGAGACTTAATAGGTATGAAAGCCATGTGATAAGCCAAGCACCCCTTAGTGCTATTCAAACAGAAGCAACAAGTGTTTCTAGGATGCTATGTTATATTGCAAGAGAGTAGGTTTAAAGTGGAAAATCATTCTTAAGCCACTCACATATGGAGTGTCTCTTTTGTAGCACGATATGAAATTTTAAAAAATGAACTTCCTATTATTTTCTCCTTCTTCCTTCCCCTCCTTAGAATTCATGAATTTGCTTAAGTCATTTATAGCACTCCTTTATAATCTATAAAGAAAAGTTTTTCAGAATCCTAAACACCGTAAGAGAGAATAAAAGATGTAAAATAGACAGTGCTGTGGATTATACTTTTTTTACAACACGTCTGCTTACTGCTCTTAATGTGCCAATCTCATCACAACTATTTGTCATCTTGCAACTTCGCAAAAAAATAAATAAATCTTTATTTTCAAAAATTCATCTCAATCTGAAACCACTTTGACTGCTTATTTCAATTCCTTCCTTGAGATGAATGTCACCTGAACTATAGAATGTTCTTGAAGTTTGGCACCCTCAACAATTCCAGTTCCTCTGTGCTGTTTCAGGCTGTTGCTCTTGACATCTATTAACCTGTTTGCTTCCTCTTCCTGCTAACTTTCTCACAGTGCCAGAATTCTTCCAATTCCTCAGTTTTAGCTTCCAGAGAAGGGTGTTCAACACTGAGAGATGCATTAGCTATAAGATCAAGATGATGATGCATCTTTCAAACAAAGTCTATGTTGTTCCATTGATGTGAGGTGCAAGGATAAAAGCCTCTGCTCTTCTATACAATGAACAGTCTCTAGAATCTTCTTGGGAGTAGTCAGGCCAGCTTCTCAAAGTTCCCCTATTACCTGGTGTGACTGGGAAAGCTTCTCAATGACACCGTCCCTCGGTTCCCTTGACAGCTACTCATTCTGTCACTTACACACTGTGTATCATCAAACTAGACTAGATAATTTGTCATTCTGAATGTCTTAGGTTTGATTTAATCTATCATTTATTTTCTCAGAAAGAAACAATGCTAGTACTCCATACTAATCTAACTCTCTGGAGTTCAACAAAGTAAAGAAAAGATGTAGGAAAAATGTAGAATTGAGTTATCCTTTCATATTTTATTATAGGTTTTCTAAGTTCTCACCCACTATAA